CACAGACCAGGCTAGATAAACATTTCCGAACCCGAGTCCAGATCCCATTGCTTCAACGCTTTTCAACCGAGAATCCCACTACATTCTGAACATTTTCAACGAATTGCTCTTATACTAGTCTCATACTCACTTTACAGATACCAGATCTTTTCTTCAAAATATTTATATTGATCACTACTGCACCCTATATATTTATCAGGTTATTTTTATTATGATCGATAACCAAGTTGTAATTGGCTATATCTCTTAGTCAATAGGCTCAGAGAAATAATGCTTTAGATTAACACAACAGTATATTATTTCTTTTGTTTAACAACTTATCGATTAACAGTAGCAGTTGTTTTATTCTACTGATTTATTTTATATAAAATATATTGAAAGAAGATTATATTATTTCTTTTGTCTAACTAATATACGATTATAGTTATATTTGCTTTTTTATTACGAGCTCATATTTATACAAGCAACTTAAAACAACATCATATTACTTATATATTTTTTCTTTAATAGGTATATGATTCATTTTTTTTCTGCTCGTATTAATTGATATTTATATGAAACATTAAAATACCATTATATTATTTCTTCTTCTTTTATAGGCATACGATTAACAGTAGCACTTGTTTTATTCTACTAATTTATATTAATATAAATTATATTGAAAGAAGATTATATTATTTTTTTGTTCAAGAAATATACGACGAGTAGTTATATTTGCTTTTTTATTACGAACTCATATTTATAGAAACAACTTAAATCAACATCACATTGCTTATTTTTTCTGTAATAGGTATGCGATTGATTTTTTTCTGCTCTTATTAATTGATATTTATATAGAATATTTAAACAACATTATATTATCTCTTCTTTTTTATAGGCATACGATTAATAATTGTACTTTGTATATTGTTGTGGATTAATATATATATATAAATATTGAAACATTATGAATCAATTACTCAAAAAGAACGACATTGAAAGATTGATGAAACAAGAAGATAAGTCAGTTGTGCTTCGTAAACCGAAGAAATCCTTAAAGTCGTCGGAAGTGTGGGAACATTTTTCTATTGTTGTTGTAAACGATATTTTACAAGAATTCGTTTGTTGTGATCGCTGCAAAGAATTGTTAGCTTATCATCAACGTGACGGTACAACGTCTATGGCAAAACATAAACGCGCATGCCATAGTAGCTTAACTAATTCAAGTGATGGTTCACATAGTCAATTAAAAGTTACAGATTATTATAGATCATCCAATAATTCCAATGTACCAAAAAGAATTAAAGAGAAAATTAAAATGGCTTGTACTGAATTTACGGCCTTAGATTGCAGGGCTTTTGAATTAGTTACAGGTGAAGGATTCTTAAAAATGGCACAAAGTATATTCGATGCTGGAAGATGTTTTAATCATTTAGCACAAGTGAATGTTAGTGAGTTAATTCCATCTCCAATAACGGTAAGAAACCAATTTCTTTTTAAGCAGATTAATTTTATTTTTTGTTTATGTTTTTTATGTTAGATCAGCCGCAATATCGATCGTTTATTTGAAGAACAAAAAGCTCATTTAATAAAACTATGTTCGAATATGAGAAGTTATTGTGTAATATGTGACTTTTGGACAGAAAGGTTTACTGGTGAGCTGCCGTTTTAAGTCTTTTACGCGAGAAAAGAAATTGTTTGAATCTGATGATTATTACTTATTTCGGAACAAAATTAATTCATATGAAACTCTTGTACTTCTATATAGATAAGACTTCAAGTTTTTGACAGAAGTTTTGTTAGACAACAGTCCTTGTTTTTCACTGATTATTGCTTATGTCAATAATCAATCTTTTATTATCCATGCGATTTTCGCTAATATATTAAACTTGTTTGCAAGATTATTTCGCATTAATGTGTCTTTAAACCTAAAGCATTACGTTTAATACTTATAAACATCAATTTTCCTCAACTTTCACAAGAATTGATCAGATTTGTCAGTACAAGTTTTTAGATGAATTATTGACTTTTCTAAAAGTTCTTTGCCAATAATTAGCTTAAGTGGAAGAGAAAAAAACATGTGATTTCTCAAGTTATTGTTTCTTGTCGGCTTTATGAGGATTTTAAATTTTTTTCAACTCTTTAATTATCTTATTTTTGTTTCAATTAATTTTTATCGTATTTTGTAGGACTTTCGTATTGTGGTTTGGCTTTACGTCACGTTACGAAAGATTTTAAATTACTAAATTTTATTCTCGGATGCTTTTTATTTGATTCAGAATCACAAACAGCTAGCAATATTCGTGCATTTGTTGATTCAAAATTATCATCATTTGGACTAGATTTAAATAGTACAATTTACGTTGTCACAGACAACGAGAACAAAATGCGAGCTGCATTTAAAGAACGATGTATTCGTGTAGGATGTTCTATTCACTTCGTCAACAAACAATTAGAACACACATTTACATCACTTGAAATTGATAAACAACCTATTAAATGTGATAAAGCACAACATCTTTTTAGTAATGCAAAACGAATTGTTACACATGTGCGTCGGTCACATCGGCAAATAAAGCTAAAAAGAAAATTACAGTTATATTCAGACACACGTTTTAATGGTGCATTTTATATGTTAGAAGTTTTTCTTGATGTTTATGATGAATTAACTAGTGTTATAAATAAAAATTTAGTAGATTTTTTAGCGGCTATTGACAAAGATTTATTAGAAGAATTATGTGTCTTTTTAAAACTTTTCGATCAAGCTATTGATCAATTAAGTGATGAAGACAAACCAACTATACATCAAGTTATTCCCATTCGACAGTTATTAATCAATCATTGTGAAGTTAAACTTGATGATAGTGACGGACTTAAAGAAGTAAAACGTTTTGTTGGTAAGTAAACATTAAGAAATATTGACTAGATGATTAACTTCAACATGATTAATTATGAACAAACCTTGATAAAGTTTACAGGTGTTGTCATCAAAAAATTTATTTTGCAAGAAAGTTTAGTTTGTATTTTTTCATCATAAGCGTTGACGTTGTGACAGATTAGAATTCAAATATTGATATTGCTATTTTTTTAGGTGAACGTATAAAATCGATTTGGATTCCTCAAGATCAGCATTATATGTCCACCTTACTTCATCCTTCGTTGAAACACTTTCACATAGCACCCCATGAAAAAAATAAGGCAATTAAATTAGTTAAACAAGAATTACTAAAACGTTCATCAGTACAAACAGTTGTTGCTGTTACTGATTCAACAGCAATAACTTCGGATACATCAACCATATTAAATGTAGCAACACCTGTTCCTTCGAACGATTTGTTAGGTCGTTGTTTCGATCAACCTCAACCAGTTGTTAAACAAACAAATGAATTAGATGATTATATGGCACTAGACACACAGCTTCATGAACGAGATGACGTGCTCTTATTCTGGAAACAAAATGTTACAAAATTTCCAATATTATCATCAATTGTACGTGATCTCTTTTCCATACCTGCTTCCAATACCAGCGTCGAACGGTTATTCTCGTCGTCAAAGAATACTGTTACCGACAGACGAACCAGTTTAGCTGCTGAAAAGATTAACAAATTATTGTTCCTTCAAAAAAATCTTGTTTCCTTAACAAAAATAAATGAAGAAATATCAACACAAAAACAAGAACAATCGAAACGAAGATTATCAGCAGCTAGTGATGAACAAATGTTAGTCGTCACAAAGCCAGAACATTCAACAGCAACAACACCAATTAAAAAAATTAAAAAAGCTGATAGCTGTGATTATTCTTCAGATGATAACAAAGATCTCATTAACAACATTATATGATGAAATGAGCTGTTGTTTGGTTTATGTATTTATAATGATAATTAGATATAGATATTATATTTAACAACAAAGTTTTATTGTTTTTTTTTATTTTTTATACATTAATTTAAGGTTATTTTTTGAATAAAATGAATGAGAACTGAAAAAATATTCGAAAAATTTTATTATTTCTCTGAAATGATTTTTCGGACCCGAACCCGGACCCGGACCCGGTAAAAATTAAATTCTCATACCCGGACTCGGACCCGGACCCTACCCGGACCCGGTCGGATCCGGGTCCGGGTCCTACCCGACGGGCTCTACCCCACACCCAAAACCTTGGAAGAAAATATTTTCATGTTTTAAGTAGACAGAATGAAAAGAACAGAATGAAATTCGATTTAAATTTTAATGAAGTAATGCAGCGATGAGTTTGCTGAGTCAACATTAGAATGGCATATGTGAGAGACGCAGTTGAAAGTCTTCAAACACAAATAGTCATTAATGAAAATTGTTTTTGTTTAGATTTTTCTCATAAGAATGTAACAACAAGGCAACCGCGAGTGCACATTGGCAAAAACTCAAGGATAAAACAGAGATTCAATAGGATACAACATCGTATATGTCCTAAACATTTTGATCTTTTGAATATTTTGTTAGCATAATTCCCAGTAGTGAGTGGTTAAATAGGAATAAAAGAGTCACATGTATCCTGGAGGTAGCAGTTGTGAACAATGGATCTACTTGGGAATTTCTTAGAAGGAAATGAATATACCACGTGTTCAATGTTAAGACGTGGGCATTTCATAATCAATACTCTTTTAAACGATACATACTTAATGACGGTTATTATTATCTACGAAAGTGACTAGAAACCTTGCCTTAGAAGAGTTTGCGTCTTGCAAATACAAGATCCGAAGTTCCGTCAACGCCTGGCCTAGATTTAAGCCAATTATCGCTCTTATTATCTGCGGTATGCTTCATAGATTATTATGTGCATTATTCGTGGCAAATCATGGTGAAATATGCATTTCGCTTGTATTTTTATTCATAAACAAAATGATCAAAATAATTCTCACACTTCGATATTATCTTGAAAGAAAAAAGATCAAAAAACAAAGATTTCGATAAACTTGCTTAGAAGAAAATCTTCTTTTTTACATGACAGTACAAACGTGAGATCTTCCAATGACAGGAGGTAAGCATGCCGTCAAAAAATTTGTTGAGGGTGCAATCAGCTCGCACACCTTAGTAAGCATATGGTCAATAATATCATCATAGGGAACCACCTCCTTGTTCTCTACCAATTCCTGCATCCAACCTCGATTGAAATCGAAATCGGGCTCAGCTTTGACTATAATGAAGCTCTTCTTTTCATCCTTTAATTTACTTGTAGAGATTGCGTAACTTAATTCCTGAAATTTAGAAGTGCTCTGGCTATAGGCCGTTGATACAATAACAACAATCACTGTTGCCTTTTCAATCGCTGGGGCTAAGTATTCCCACATATCTTCCCACACTTCCACACGTTCATAGTCGACCCAAATGGGTATTTCTATTTCATTCTTCAACCCATTCACAAAACTTTTACAAAATTCCGTATTGGCCCAATTATAGCTGATGTAGATCATGGATGATTTTTCTGTTTTCGATTCGTTCGGTCGCATTTCTAGCTGAAGATTACACCAGATGCGCTTGGCAACATCTTGCTTTGGCCGCTTGGCAAGACTTTCAACGATCACGCACAAAGAATCATTTTTAACTAATTCTTTACGATACTCTGAATAGCTGGAAATATGCAGTATAATTTTAAGTAAAGATTTTACAGCGCGCTTCTCAAGATCATTTGCTTCCTGATCCAACAATGCCCCGTAAATCGATGAGAGAAGTTGTGCGAAGAATAGTATCCGCTCCTTTTTGACACATGATGTATCGCCCAGAGTATCTTGTATTATGGATGTGTTCGAAAAAGCACGCTGTAATAATTCCAGGTATTCTGATAAATGCATTCCATCAATTCGCAAGTCGTCTGCTTTAGCAGCAACCTTAGTCGACTCATACCAACTTCTGCTGATATCAAGGATGAGTTCTTTGTTTTCTTCTTGTGTCTTCTCATTTGTAGCTACTAAAATCAACGCTATGCCAAATGCTTGTTTCAGGTCGTCTTCGTCTTCGTCTTCGTTAATAACTAACTGCTTCCGTTCCATCAAAGTGTCGAATGCCTTTTCATTTCGTAGCTTTTTCAAGCCTTTCTTATCTCTCGACAAATTGTAAACAATGGTAAATATTGGCTCACCCAGTGTGTCAATCGCGGACTCAAATATGTCTGTTTGAATCCATTTTATAGATGCTTCAGCGTAACCGACTTCAACGAACATAGGAACAAGTGCAATTTTGTCAGTCAGATTCCATATAAGGCTTAAAATGCGATCTATTACTTCCAGTGACATCAAGGAAGCTTGCTCGTCCATATCGATCAGACACTTATTAATAAACGTCAGCAGAGAGTCCATAACAAAACAGTGATTTTTTTCGAATTCATACGCCGATCGAATGACTGCTTTGCCAGCAATATTGGAAGCACAATTCATGTAGTTTTCAATGACTTTTCTAAAACAGTCATCTTCGTCTCCTAATGATTCTTCATTTGTTGTTTTAGGATCTAAGTGATACAAAGAATTGCAATTGTTCACAATTTTTACTGCTCTCAAAAAAGCTGCATACTTAGCCAAAAATGGTTTCGTGAGCGCTACAAAACTTGAAAAGAGATTCGTACGCGGTACGAAATTTAAAAATTGTTTCGAAGTTTGAATCGAAAACGAAACTTTTTAAAAGTTTCATAAGAAATCTACGAACTCTTAAAAAAGCTTCATAGGCCCTTAACAATCATTTTGAATGTGTCCTGGGTTCATACCAAATCTTAAATAAATGCGGAAACTTCGGATTTAAATCCGAGAGTTATGTGTACTTCAAAAAGTGAATCATACAAATCAATCATCCTAGACTGTCTGAATATCAAAATTATACTGTGAAATCTACCATTTAAAATGTTGATTTCTATTGCGCGTTGCCAAACCAATAGGACATGGGNATAAAAAATAAAATAAAATATTTTGTAATAAATAAATAAATACTTTCTTTTCCGGTTTTAGAATTGCTCTAAATAAAAGAAAAAATAATAATAAAATAATAATATTTTGCATGAATACGTAATTTTTCTTTTGGTGCTGAGATCGTCGTAAATAAAACAATGATATAGTAATAATAATTCATATAATAAACACTTACTGTTTATTGCACTGTTCACAATCATCTAAATCAAAAAGAACGTTATCATATATATTTATAGACAGAGAGAGATAGATAGATAGTTTCACCGCCGGTATACCGCGGTAATCAAGAAAACCGTCGATATATCGCGGTATTTAAACCAACCGCCGGTATACCAGCGGTATACCGCCGGTATTCTCGACTACCGCGGTATACCGGCGTTAGTTCAAGTAAATGTACGACATGAGGTATCTGAGAATTTTCAGTCTATAACAATTTTGGGTTTGTTTATTGAAATCTATCTGTCTTGAAATTTTCATAATTTGCCGTCGAGTCATTTCCGAGAAATTCCGAAAAGGACGCTGGATTTCCTTAATATACCAACTTCAACATCGACAATCAAATACAAGATCATATGTTTTCTGTTGTATCATTTGCTCAACAATTCCATTATTACTCTAGATTTATTGATAACATGTAATCGTTGATTTTAATTAGAAAAGATATTATCAAGAATTATATCTAAATACTGAAGTTATTCATACTATTTTACAATATAAAATTCATTTCAAAGTTGATTAATTTTGAAAAATATTTTTTCAAACTTTCAAAAATTTGTCTAAAATCTATATGAATTAAATCCTTATGAGAATATATATATTTATTGAAAAGATCTAATTCCATTTTATCAATTATTTATGATAAATGAATCATTTTTATTTTTATTTTATTGATAAATTTATTCTAATTGACCAAAATGTCAATGACATAAAATATATCAACTAAAACAATCTACATCGAGTTTTATTGCTATTTACATATATGATAAATAGAAAATAATCGAACAAATGATTATATTATTTGGTATACATTTGCATGTTTTTAACTTCATTCTTATTTCAACAACAAAATGTTGTCTTTATAATAAATCCTAATTTTTTTTTTTGTTTGATAATATGATATTGTATTTTAGGTTTCTTTAAGCTTATGAAAAAATGAGGACCATTTTTAAACATAACAATGTCTTTCGACCTTCATATCGATGTTGATAGCAACAAAATAAGCATTCATATATCTTCGACTAAAATTACAAAAAACGTATATATAACTAATATTTACATATAGAAATATTATAGGAGAAGAAAAAAAAAAAAAGAGAAAAAGAAGATCATTCATTTTGAATTAAAGTAATTTCTTTTTTCTTTATTTGGAAAATAAATCATTACAAAAATAAAGCTATTACTGAAAAACGATTAAATTTCAATATATTTTTATGTTTATCACACGAACGAAGGCATGATTTTTTATAATGAGAGTAAAATAAGATAGAATTTTAAATTTTATTTTTTCGCAAATGTTAATATATATATATATATATATATATTATTCATTCTACGTCAATCGATAAAAAAAAAACAATGGATTATGAATACGTTTATTGCTTCATTTCACTGATGTATGTAGATTTCTCCTCATTTCAGGATGATGAGTTATTTATGTCGTCATATGTAATATTCGATATGTTTCTACGTAGGAGAATAACAAGGAGACATTTACACATATGAAAGTCCATTGCTCGTATTTTTTGTTACTACCAAATTACTCTTTTGCTTGAAACTATTTGTTGTAGCTAACAACAAAATTTGCTTCAAACAAAAGTAATATGATATTGTACAATAGACAGAATAATCATACTTTACGTAGTTAACTAATCTTGATTTCACGGAGAACAAAAAAATAAAGATATATAAAAAGCAGAAGTAAAGAAGTTTGCCTTCATTTATATTTCTTTTATAAGACAGTGTAGATAAACTGGATTAAGATGTATTGATTTTATTTTTCTTCAGATCGAAATCTTATTATTTTCTTATCTTTTGAAGACGATCGAAAGCAATGTCATTTTTTCATTATCTATTACTTTTCGGTAATATTTTCCTTATATGTATCTCGCTGACTAAGGCCGGTAAGTTTTTATTAGTTCAAATTTTATTTTTTATTTGTTTTGTTATCATTTAAAAAAAAAATCAAGTTCCTTTGGGTGGTGTCTGTACAATTGCCAGTGAATGCGATGGAGCTAATGCGACGATTTGCCGAGATGGAAAATGTCAATGTGATACACCTTGGTATGGACCATGCGATACAAGATGTGGTAAGTATTTAATTATTTAGAATAAAATCATAATAATAATAATTCTATTCTATTTGTGAAATATTAAAGATATAAAAAGAAACTTTGTCTACGAAGGACAAGAATGCCGAATCAAAGATAATTGTATTAACAACAGTTTATGTAATTCTGCAAGACGATGTCAATGTGAACAAAATTATACAGCTATTAATGGACTATGTTGTAAGTATACAATAAGTAAAATATGAAAAACTTTTTTGAAAGTAAATGAAAAAAAAAAGTAATATTATTGATTAAGATGAATAAAACAAATGTTAGTATAGTCTCTCTGAGGGATTCAAATGTGAAATACAATATAACTGCTTTTGCTAATCATAACGAGATTATTTTATTCTATTTGTTTTGGTACATATTTTTTCATTATCCTTCTCGAGAAATGCAATAAAAAAGTATTTTATGTATTAAAATAAGACGTTATTAATATACAGTATTTGATTGTATATTAACAATGTCTATTATAGTCTATGATCGGTTGCTACTATCTGTATAGGTGAGAGATCTTTGTTTCTAGAAGAAAAAACAAGAATGTTTTCTTCATCATATTCGTTAGGAATATATAAAACAGTATCTATCTTATAGGTTATTATTTACTCAGTAAATATAATCTGATATCTTCAAAATTTTGATTTATTTTCTGCATAGATAAAAATTTAAATGTACGATGTACATTCCCGAATGAATGTTGGTCTAAAGATTGTCGTGATGGAGTATGTAAATGTCGTCTTGGCTTTATACCAAGAGAAGATAATAGCCGTTGTCGTATGTATTTCTTTTTTTTTCAATTGAATATATGATTAAGAAGAAATTTATTTATATAGAAAGAAAACTTCCTAGAATCTATCGCAATTGGGCTGAGGCTAATACATCAAATGATTTTTGTTATGAATCACTGGCAACTGTTTGTCTTGCTATTAATGCAGTTTGTCAAAATGATTCTCAACATACGGAAAAGTTTTGTCAATGTCTACCAACATATACTGCTAATTATGAAACACAAGAATGTCGTAAGTCAAGAAACAAATCTAAATTTTCAAAAGACAAAAAAAATTATATTATTTTCAAGAATCCATCCAATACACTGGATCATTATCACCCTCAATTACACCATTGCCAAATGACACCTGTGGTACATGTAAAGATGAAAATGCTTTATGTGTTAATGTTCATAATCAAAGGACATGTTGGTGTCAAGCCGGTTTTACAAATACGAATAATCAATGTGGTGCGTTAAATAGAATTTGAAGAAAAAAAAAAAAAAAAAGAATTTTTTAAACTTTCCGTTTTGTTTTTCAAGAAAAATTTCATTTGGATTTTACATTTCCAAATCAATACGATATAAGTCAACGTGAATATACTTTACTTAATTGTTCGGCTAATGGAACTGATGATACAATAACAACATACAATGGTTTATGTGTATGTAAACGTGGTTATGAATTCGTAAATACAAGATCAGCTTGTCGTAAGTTCAATTTTCATAATCAATTATTCAACATATGGATTAATTCTAGAACGTATTATACCAAAATGGCAAAATGATGTTTTTGAGTACGGTGTATGTACACATATAAATTCAACCCGTCTTCCTATACAAGGAAATGACTTCTGTCCTTTACTATTAAATTGCGAAGAACGACAAGATAAATACGTATGTTCATGTGGTCGTAATAAATATTTGGATGAAAGTAACGGAAGATGTTGTAAGTGTTTAGAAATAATAAAATAATCAATAAGATTAAAACAAAATCTTTTTATTAAGATTATTTCTTGGAAAGAGATTTAGCGTCTCCGATTGGTGGAGATTGCCCATGGGGATCAAGTCTTAATGGTACACAATGTCAGTGTTCACCGGGTGCTCAATATACGGTGTCCAGCGATAAAAGAAGATGTGGTATATATTACAAAATTCATATTTATTTTTCAATATTTTTTTGTCTTATTTAGAACTTAATTTAGCTGCCAGAGACGCTGACGTTGGATGTACTAACAATACAACATTTGACACTACCTGTCAGACTTTATATGGCACTAATACAAAATTTTGTAAAGCAGGAGAATGTCAATGTATACCTGATCGTTCATTCTATAGCAATGGCACATGTGGTATGTTAAACATGCTCAAAAAAAAAACAAGAAAAAGATTCATATATAGCAATAAAATATATTCACATAACTAAAGATTAATGAATTTTTTCAAGATTAAAACAAAGCAAAAATCATTTTAGCTTTGTTCTTCATGGCTTTTTAGCGTAGGAATCGAGAAGATTAGACAATTTTCTGATTATATATATGAATTAAATAATGAAGAAGAAGAATTTTAAAATTAATTTGTTTTTTTCTGTTCGATCCATCTTCGGCGTCAATGGGTTCAGCATTTGTCATATTGTTCTTGATTTATATTTTGAAAAATATAAACCGAGCCTATCTCTCGTACGATTGATAATTTATTCAGTGTAAAAACAATCCTTTATTTTAGTTACATATCTCTATGTTGATCCTGGTACCAATGGTTTATGTCCAACTAATGCTCGAAAAAATGTGAGTAGTCAATGTAGATGCGATGCTGGATATCGAGCTAATGTTGGCAATCGTACTTGTCGTAAGATAGCACATAATTGGCTTTTAATAGAATATATTAAGAAAATTTTTACATTTAGGACGAGTATCTAGTCAACTGTATGAATCAACAGATAATCCACCACAAGGTGATTATTCTGATGTAACGAGAGAAGACTGCAAAGCATTGTATCACAATGCGTATGTCAAGGTTCATAACAATCAATGTTTATGTGAGACTGGTACATTTTCGAATACTACAACTTGCCGTATGCTATAAAAAATATTTCATTATTCATGATTTTAAATATTTTGTTGTTTAATATTTATAGTTTTCTTTTTGTCTTTTGCTTTTACAATTTCCACTAGCGATGTAACTTGTCCAATGTTTACTGACCTGATTAGTGGTCCAGCATGCACATGCAGCAGCGGCTATAAAAATAACGGTGATAATCGTACTTGTAGTAAGTAAATATTTTATACCGATGATACTTAAACTATTCAATCGATAAGGAACTTATATTTGTGATTTTTATTAATGCATTTCCATCCAATGTCTCTTTTTGATCAAAAGAAAAAAAAAAAAATAACGAATTTTGTTTTCCAATTTTTATTGTTGATGAATTTAAATATTCATATGCAAAGGATAAATTTTGACGGAGAACTCATCAAAACTAACCTGCTATCATTATATTACAAGCACTTCATCAGATGTATTATTATGAAATGTGCTCCGTACATATTTTAAAATTTGTAATCTGTTAATCGTTTAGATGCTCATTACACACTCAATTAAAAATACTTTAACAGTGTTTATTGAGAGAAATAGTTTGTAGTGAAGCAGAGAAATGAAACAACATTGGAAGGTTTAACTGAAATTTTAGTCAATTCTCTTTGCCATAATCATATGTTGGAGATTTTTAGATAATAAATAGATAACTACTAATATAATGTCATTAAAAATATATTGAAGGAAATAAGAAGTTAATCAGATCGGTACCGGTGGTACTATATCATAGTTGATAGCATCTTGATTCAGTATTATGCATGAGGTTTTATTCTACTTCTTTTCTTCTTTTTTAAAATCAATTTAGAACTCGAAGTTATTTTGTAATAACCGGTGGTAAGATAATATTCTTTACTTAATTATTGTTCAGTTATTGAATCAAAAAAACAAATTTAAATATTATTGATAAATGCTTTATAAAAAACAAAAATAATCTTTGTTTATCAATGCTAAAACCAATATTTGTTAATAAAAAAAAAAAACAGTAGACTGGATTGAAATCTTTTCATTCAGTTTGACATAAAAGACTATTAACAGAGCTTTGATACAAATAAACATCTAATTTTTATTTCTTCAAAAGAGAATTTTTATCCAAATATAACTAAACGATGATTTGTCATTTCAAATAAAATTTTTCTTTAATTATTTCTTTTTTTAGTACCAATTACAGATCGAGTTTACGAACATAATGATATAACTGGTGCTAATGTTGCAGGATTAGAATCAGGTCATTGTGTAAAATTATTTGGATATGCTGCAGAAGCAACACAGAACGACGGTTATTGTAGATGTTTGAATTCAAGTATTGCCTTTTTAGAGAACAATAGATGCTGTATGTTTCACATGTGAATACATTTTTATTGATATAACAGTTTTGTATTTTTTCAGATTTTCTTGTTGAAACAACTACAACAGCAATTGTGGAACAAAAAGATTGTCCATCGAATTCTAGAGTAAATATTTTAATAATCACATGAAAATTTAAATTCCTCTTGATTTTATAGAAAGATACACTAATGTGCAAATGTCCTGTAGGATATGAAGCAACTGCAAATAAGCAAGGATGTGGTTCGTATCTAATTCAAATTAATATAAACTATTCTATTAAATTATATTATTTAATTTAGTACGAAAATCAATCTATTCTTTAAATCTTCAATCTATTGACCCAAATATTTTTTCACAATGTAATGCACCATATACTGAGGATGATTGTGTGGCTTTACACAATACGGGTGCCATTTGTCGTAATTCCAGCTGTTATTGTGATCGATCTAAAAGTTTTGTTTCTAATAATCGATGTGGTAAGTTTGAATAAATATCTTTTGTTTCTTCTTGTGTACAAGTCTAATTCGAAATTGCTTTAGTACTTTTTTCACAACTCGTATTTCCTGGTCCACATGAACGTTATTCAAGAACATGTATTACTCAAGACGATTGTGGTAGTAATGCAGATCAAAATGGAATTGAATGTGACTTTATAAATAATAATACTACTGATAATTATAAAGTATGCAAATGTAAACTAGAATATTTCTTTAATCCAATTGATTCGACATGCGGTATAATAAAAAAAAAAAAATTTTGTTTTTCTAAAAAATTTATTCTTTAATGCATTTAGTTAAAAGTCAATGCTATCCACAATGTTCAAATACTGAAGATTGTGTAAATTATCACTGTAATTGTAAAGCTGGACATTATCGAAATCCTTCAGGGCAATGTGGTAAATATGACGGATTACTTTTTTTTTGTCGTTCTCAAGATGAAATCAGTAATCATTCTTGAAATAAATCTACAAAGATTCATATGCATGAGTGTTTGTATGTATATATGAAATTCTCAATAGAATTAAATTATTGTACTTGTTTGCTTTTCATATCGTTTCAAAGAAATTGTAACAACAAAGTTTTCAATACTAGTATGTGAGGACATTAATATAGTATAAAATCTGATATATTCACAATGAATTAGTTTTATTGTGAATTAAATTTCGAAGGTAATCTTACGATAATCATCATCTGTCGTTGAAAATCTCATTAAAATAAATATCACTGAAGAATAATCCATAGATAAATTGTTTTTGAGACTGTATGTAGTCTTAAACAAAAAAAAAAAAACAACTTATTTAATGAACTAAGACTCATCGTTCAAGATGATTTACCATGTGACAGTTATAGGTTTTTTGTTTCCAAAGAATTAGAATAGCTCCTTTAAAAAAAAAATCCTTTTATCCATGTCAAATCTAAGCATTCACAATTCGATAGTTTTAGTTAAAAAATACATGTTCAACTCTACCTTCGATTAAGTAAAACCTACATTGACACATCTATGTTGATTTATATACTATTATTAATTATGTAATTTCTTTCCCATGCAAAATAGTGCTTCTTGAACCATTACAACTTCATGAAATATGTAATAAAACAATCTGGATTGGATCAACATCTGTCAACGATGAACTTTTCTGTTCTCAAGCTTGTGGACGAGTTGAATGTAATAATGGTTATCGTGATGATGGTTCACAATGCGGTACATTTTATAAAAATTTTTTTTCTTAAATTTCAAAAATAATATTTATTAATTTTAGTGAAAATTAGATTTAATGATTATTGTGCATTTAATCTAAATCAATGTACTAAATTGAGTCCAAATTCTGTATGTAATCCAGATGACAATCAATGTGTTTGCCGGGCTGATTATTATCAAACTGACAGTGAGATAGTCTGTGGTAGGATATTCGAATAAGAAAGAAAAAAAGAAACAAACGATTATTTTATATTATTGAATAATTATATTTCTAGCTCGAGCTGTTAATGGTGATTGTGAAAAACATATAGAATGTGGTGGTCTTGGTCAATGTTTTAATGGTCGATGTAGATGTGCAGCAGATGCAAGAGAAGAAGAATTTGTGGATTTTTCCGGACGAAAAATTATGCGTTGTGTGAAAACACATGGAAGCGGTAATGATAATTTTGAAATTAATTATCTTATGATCGTTTATATTTTTAGGTGGTGATCAAATACGATTCAGTGCGATTTCATTATTAATCTTTATATTCGTTCGTTTATTTTTCATATAAAATAAATGATTATATTATTATTATTACTTTTCTTCTCGAAATGACGAATATTTAAAATAAATGAATATTCTGAAAGTTTTCTATTTACCAGCCATTTATGATTGTACTTTACTGTTTTATTTTGTTTTGTCATATTTTTTTCTTAAAACTATTTCCTTCTAATTTAAACAAGAAAATAATTCTTTTCTTTTTTGTCTTTTTGAAATTCAATGGCTTCTTTGTCTAAGAATATTTAATAAAAAATTTCTTTTCAATGATGATTAATAATAAAATATAATAAATAATTTCATTGCCTTTTTTTTTTTGTTGTTGTTATTACATGAACAAATAACAGATTGAATTAAATTCTAAGTTATCTAAAAGAATAATATAGATCAACAGTAACAGTGTATCACATATTAATAAAATCAAAATATTCGAATACAAGAAAAGTTCTCTCTTATGTTTTGTAAATTCTTATGAAATTACCATAATGAATTTAGGTGGATTCAAAATCCTTTGTACTTAGGTTTTAGAGATCAGATAATCTTGAGCAGAACTGTAACCAGTAAACGGTTGATCCGGTAAGGAATTCTTTACTAGTTTGTATAATTTTTTTTTTTTTAGTTTCTGTATGGTTCTCTTTCAAAACAATAATGATAGTTATATGATCGAACAAAAAAAATGGAATCATAGAGATAACAAAGTACATCTACATGTGATTTATAATTTCTATGTCTAACGAAATATTTAATTAGTATGAAATACTATTATAAAATTTTTAGTGATAAGAAATTTTATATCCATTGGTAGATACCAAGAGAAAGGAAAAGCTTTTATCGCTATTCCCACGGGACAAAAATATTAAACATGACGAAACTACTTTAATCATTGTGAGATACATCAACATCTATATCAGTAGACCATGGTGAAAAATCCAAAATTAACATGGTTTTTCATTCTAATACATAGATTATCAGACACTCTAAGCTGAGAAGTTTTCAAAATTGAACAATTTTTTTCTCTTTGGAGAATGGGACTCTAGAGTATCAAAAACCATTTATTTCGTAATCGGAAACTTTCTAGGATGATTTGTCAGAGTTATAGTTGCTGATAATATATGTATTAGAATTACAAATAATACAAAAGCATTAATGTCAATNTGAACAGCAAGTCACCGGTAAGACCCAACGATGTGAAACTTGAAGGCGTTCCTCCTGTCGACTGCGAATCGATTGAAAAAACAATACTTGTTTCGTCAGTTCGTAAAGCTTACATCGTGAAATTCTCTTATATGCCTCTTCACTATGTTGGTTGCTTTCAAAGAAAAAAAATCATAGTTTGGAGAAGCTTTGAAAACTGATGCAATCTGTATGTGGTAGGGTCTGTGTCGTCAGTTGGAAACTTACATAAAATAACGAGAGTATAATTTCATTTGAATCATTAATTTAATACAAATCCTTCCTTTCTTTCTCTTCGTGTAGACATTCATTGTAAAAATTACTTTGGAAAATACCGAACACATAAGAAACATGTTGAAGACGTAAACAATGGCAACTTCATAAGCAGGTGCTCTACGTCAAATGGAAAATTTTGCTGATGAATACTCTGATCGTCTACCTAAACCATATTCATCATTAACTTTTTGCAACTACCTATGCTCTATTGACTGAAAAAGTATCCGAGATGATAACTTGTTTTTGGGCTCAGACAATGTTGAGTTGGTAGAGATCAATGAGAAAGTAAATAGCCTTAAATTGTTTGACCATCGGTGTAGTTGTTGCTGAGTAATTGAAATTGTAAAGCAAATTCTTCATCAAATATTATCTTGCACAATTTTTCTTTACATCAGCCAAAAGGCTTTGTGATTCAGCTCATATTTATTGTATGAGTAGTTCACATAGAGGCGACTCAAGCCTGAAAGTTTGAGTCCGATTGGACAACTTATCAGAGATGTTAAAAATGTATAATGCTTTAATCGGAAATCTATGCCTAAGATACGCTCTTACTCGAGAACGAAACCATCGGCTGATCTTGCATTATCAATGTAAATCAATCTCCTAGTCACACACTAAGTTAAAATGTGTCGCATGTGTCGTGATTTACGACACAATGCACGACACGAGGTGCTCGTTGCGACACATTTTGTCCAGCAAGAGCACGACACATTTCGTACGACACATGCGACACATTTTTTATTGGTTCTTCTGAAAAAGCATATTATGAATTTTTTAAAATTTAATTCCATTATAATTATTCCTATTTTGAAAACTCAAGCAGGTTAGATCTTGAGATCTGACTAGCCTCGAGTTGACCCGATCTCCGTCAGACCGGTTCAGGGTAGTCCTCTCTCGAATATTGATCGAGATTGGCATTTTCTCGACCAATAAAATGTCGAGAAATAATCTAGAAAAAAATTATTGTGAAAATTTTTATCTTCCTTACGTTCAACCGTGTTGCTTATACGTATATGGATGTGCATACATAACAAAAGCGGTGACTGAATAGTGAACAAACAGAACGCGACAAAATTGTATACGATACATTCTAAGCGCGACACATTTTTATGCTGGGATGCACGACACAATAACTCACGACACATAAATGCAACACATTTTAAGTTAGAGTGCATCTATGTTTAGGGAACAGTCCGTCGAGCTTTCTCATTTTATTATCAAGATATGGAAGAAAGCCTTATAATGACTAAGACATATACATGTACATAGAGCCACAAGAACTGAGAGAAAACCTAGTTATGCTATTCCTTAAGTATAACTGGCTACAAGATGAATTTACGTTGACAATATGAGCCCAGCTGAAAATTTCGTTCTCCAATAAGAGCAAATCTTATGCATAGATTTCCAATAAAACCATTATAAACTTCTAATATCTCTTTGATAAGTTGTCCAATCGGACTCGAACTTTCAGGCTTGACCCGCCTCTAGATGAACTAATCACACAATAGGTCTGGGCAGGATCACGAAACTTGTTGGACTCACATATTAAAGAATCAGACAGAATAAAATTTGATGAGAAATCTAATTTGCAAATTCAGCATCTCAGAGAAAACTCCACAAACATTGGAACTATTTGAGTCTATTTATGTACTCACTAGCCTCTATCAATTCAATGTAGTCTAAGGTTAAAAGCAAGTTATCGTTCTAGTAGTTCCCTCGTAAGTCAAATATAAACTGACTCCTTGAGAGCAGGACTGGCCCACAGAATCTCGGATTGTGTTTCGAGGATCTCAATGGAGGGTCGACAGAACGCAATAAAACTCGCTCAGGTACACTGGGAAGAAACAAAATTTTCTACCGTTGGAAAAGGGATTTGACCCGCTTGCTACGACCAGTCCTAATCGGCAGCATTCTTCACTAATTGACATAGTATATATATCTGGCTACCTTCTAACAAAAAGTAATTGTTGAAAAGATCTGTAACACTTTTCACAATTCATTAGAGATTTATCTTAAATCTGTTTCTTTGACGAAATTGCACCTTAACAGATGAATGATCACTGCTGATAAGAATTCAGTTCACTTACAACCGAAGAAATTCCGAGCAAATTTGTGAACGTAAATAGAGATGATGGGTTGTTTGCCACAATTGCGACAATCTTCAAACCATCGGTCATACTAATACTTCCACTCGGGATAGTCGAGGAGCCTGAAAGATAAGCTCAATTTAAGAATAAAGTAAGACGCAGAAAAAAACCTGCAATAGAACCGACATTGTATATAAGACAGCCACTTGCTCCAGCGTTTGCCGCTTTATCACATCTGACAGCAGAGCCACACACGTCTGCAGTGTTAAAAGCGTACAAAACCACAGCACCCGCTACCTCTTTGACTGGACCGTCGCAGCCATCATTCATCGTAGCTTCTGGATTTGATTATTACTGAAAAAATGATAATATATATTCAATTGAAGAAAAACTCACCGTTCACAACGATCTTCGATTGTACATCTGATTGCCATCCGCCAAAAGCAGATCCAGGTAAGTAGAAAATGTTTTCACCATCGGGGGTGATTAGGTAGGATCGGGCCGCATACGAATTGTCTACTGAAGCAACAGCGATTGCGCCTGATGAAATAGATGGACTTCCACCTGTTTGAAGACCTTGGCTTCCGTCATTGCCAAATGAAAATGTGATATATACTAATGGAAGTATTGAAGAGTTTAGAACATTTCCCAACGAAAGAGACTATCGTTACCTCCTTGTTCGGATACTCATTGAGCAGCAATCGCGTCTGAAGTTTCCGTGTAAGCACCAGCACCCCCGACAGACATAGTAACTAAGTATATCATGATCAGACAAAAATAGATGATTAGAGGAAATCAGTATCCCAGACCCAATGTTAAAGTCGAAGGAAACATTTAAAATGTTCAAAAAAGGANAAAAAAAGGTTCCGTGAGAAAATACGAAACCTTAAGGGTTCTGTACAACACCTTGAGGGTTCTGTACAAAACCATCAACCGTTGGTACGAAACCCTAATGGTTTTGTACAGAACCCTTAGGATTTCGTATTTTCTCACGGAACCTTTTTTTGCTGTACAGAACCTAAAAAAAAGTTCTGTAAGAGATGGTTCTGCGAGTGGGTAAAACGCTGAACCTTCAAAAGGTTCTGTAGAAGTTTTTATCCTTTTTTTGAGGCTTTGGACACATTTGGAGGCTTTTAGAAATCTACAGAACCTTTTCGAAGGGTTCTGCAAAACTCCTTTTTTTTCCAGAGTAGTGCTTAATTTTCAGAAATTGAGTGTTGATGCATCGGTTTATTATTCGAAAGTATTTCGACAAATTTATTTAATTCTGCATCTGTCTATAACCAGTACTCTCCAGTTCTTGAGGCACCTCTGTCCCCAAAATACTGTGTTAAGTCAAGTTTTTCTTGTATGAACAATATTTATGATAATTATCTCTTTAGTTTTTCGTGTAAGAACTTGTTATTATCGAAA